TTAGAGGTATATGTTTCCAAAGAGTATTTTACCCGTGTCTCCTTCCCAGAATAAAGATAAAAAATTAACATAATCCAGAAACAAAGAAATCAAAACAGAGAGAGTATAGAATTGGACCATCAGTGGATACTGTTACATATAGACATGGTTCTAAGTAATTGTTGTTAATAACATTTAAATGAAAATGATCAGGGATTTAGCTCAATGGTGTAAGCTCCTGCCTGGCAAATGTGACGTTGTGTTTGATCGCTGGTACCAAAAAAAAAAAAAAAAAAAAAAAAAAAGAAAGAAAGAAAGAAAAGAAAATGATCACACCTGTATAAAATTGGACAGGAGCTGTCTGGAACCTATGTAGCCATTTTTGTACAGTCTCTATTCCAGATTCATTAATTCTTTGAACATAAGAAATTACCTAAGTCATTAAGATAATGATATAAATGTCCACATATAAAATCTCCTAAGTGGCACACTTAAGATTTATGCATTTTATGGCATGTAAGTTATAATGTTGTTAAAAACAAATAAATAAAATCAAAAGACAAAAAAGTCCACTTACATAGAATGCATTGGAATCTCACTGCTAAGAAGAAAAGCCATTAGATGGGTACCCTGGGGTCACCACTTGTCATATAGCCTCTTTGTGTGAGTCAGAAAATGTTACTCTTTTTTCCAAGATCCTTTACTTGCATCTCTTAAACTTTGTAACAGTAAATATGCAGACTTTTTGATGGCTATGGTGAAATAGTGTTTCCTCGCTCGGGCATACTTGTGCAGTGTACAACCTACATCCTGCTATGGCTCAGCCTTGGCTGCCCAGCCTGCCTCAACCCCTTCTACTCAGCCTCAACCTCTACTAGAGTTGGGTGCAGATGGTGCTGTTTTCCTGACTGGTTGATAATGTTCATCAATGCTGGACTGTTTTCTACTTCCAAACTTAATTTCTGTAGCAATAAATGGTAGATTTCTCTGCAGGGCAAGTTTGTCAGAAAGTTTACTCGAAGATCCCTGCATAGAAGACTTCTCAGAACAGCTTGACAATCCGTGCCTTCTCCAAAATCTACTCCACATATTCTGCATTCTGTTGTGGATCAGGGAAGAGCCTACTGTTGATCATAGCTCTTATGTGTGTGATCAGAGACCCCAGTATGGGAAGCAAACTCAAGGACAAGTCTCCACAGGGGACTGGGAAACGTGCTCCCAGGAATGGGGATGCAGCTGCTCCTCCTCCCCACAAACCTGTGTGAAGCCACTTCTCAGGTCTGCCCTGCCCCTCTTGTCCTCATCTAACTGTTCTGTTAATCCTCCAAGGGCAGCCCATGCCTACTTCCTCCTCCTGAGTTAGTGGTACTTATCACAAGAATGGGAGTGAATCTTTATTCTCATGAACCATAAGCATCTCTAGTATTGATTTCCCTTGAAAGCCTTATAAATTTCATTACAGAGTCAATCCATCAATCAGTCATCTTTTAAGAAATGGGATTAACAGATTTTAACAGCTTTTGAGAGGTCAGTGATCCTAGAATTTGATTGCATTTGTTCCTACCAATGAACTTCACAAACTAACAAATAAAATGTAAGAAACAAAATTCTCATGCAAATTACTCTGTCTCCTACAAATTCTTGTGCCAATTTGGTAAATGCTGCTACTGATGGGTGATGGGGGGAAATTATCCTCAAGTGAGATAAAAGAGTAACAACTGATGTTCACCGTGGCCAATAATTTCAGGCCCAAAAAGTGTTATAAAGAGGATCTGAGCACTTCTTATCCTCGAAGAAAATGATAAGCTGTATGTAAACTGTATGTCTGTTTGACCTTACAAAAAACTCAGGTAAGGGAAATCTGGTTAAAACTTATTTGAAAGAGATAAAGAATAGAGGCTGGAGATTTAGCTCAGTGTCATAAGTGCCTGCCTCTGGCAGATGTGAGGTCATGAGTTCGATCCCTGGTACCACCGAAAAGAAAAAAAAGAGAAATAAAGAAGAGAAAGTGAGGAAGGAAAGAAGGAAGAAAGGGGAAGGAGAAGAGAAGTAAAGGAGAATGGAGGGGAGGAGGGAGAGGAAGAAAAGACAGAAGGGAAAAGAGAAAGGAGGCAAGTTTGCAGCAGGTGGCTGCGGTGATCTCTAAGAGCGATGTAACATTTGGAGAATCAGTTGACTCATCTTGGGCTCCTCGATGTCATAAAGTAGTTTTCTTAAAGTAATTATCTTAAAGGAGTGTTTCTCAGTGGGGATTTAGCAATATCTAAATCATTTTTCTTGCCACGTCCCCTAAGCAGGAGAGGAATGCTCAGGGGTAGCCCCTTTACGCAGGAGTTACTCAGCCCAAAATGGTAATAGTCCTGAATTAGGTGGATTCTTTTAAAGGAATCACAGTTAACTCTAATCCAGAGAACACAGTCCGATAAAGACAAGCACCAAAAACCTGTTGACAGGCTTCTCCTTAATTTTCTCTGGTAGCAACTGACTCCAGGTGGTCTAATTTTATTATTTCTCTTCCATAACACCCAACTGTGTGGTCATAAAAACATCTGTCTTATCCTAACATGTGTGGAGGCTTTTTCTTTTTCTGGTTGGTTGTGGTCAGAACCTTAAAGGCATTCCAGCACCCAACGCCACATGCCTACGCCTTCCCAGATGGAGGGTATTTGAGACCATGTAGGCTCTGATGGTCTGTCCAACCTACCAAACTTTCTCTTAGTTTGAGCTCTCTGCTTCAGAAGCCAGCACCCCTAAGTTAAAGCCACAGTAACTCATGCCCCTGGTTTTTACAAAGCCCATTCACCCTCCAGATGTGGGTGACAGTCCCAAGGGTTCAGTTTTACAAAGTAAAATGCAAAAGAATATGATGACAAATAATTGAATTATACCAACACAGTTATAAAATGTGTGTATGTGTGTGTGTGTTTAAGTGTATATTTATGAGAGAAAAGTCCACAGATACAGTGGGGTCCAGGGGCGCATGAAAGTGGGGGCCATCCTGGTTTCTGGAAGCACTCACGCCTCCGCCAGCCCCTTTGGTAATGCGGCTCATCAGGAGCGAGATCAGAATGGTAAAAACTAAAGGAAATTTGACAGAGATCTCCTTCCTCTTCCAGGAAAGAATCTAACTTTTAGAGCAGTTGTTTCTCTATCAAACCCTGCTTGCTGTTTTCACCAGGGACTCTCATAGACCCACCTTTGTGTGCTGACACAATTGTGTGTAACTTCTGTTCTCTATCTCGGACTTCTAGTAGGAGACAGAGCCATCCCCACAGGTTGTAAATCAAGCCAGAGAGCTTCCTTGGCTCCTCTTCAATTGTGAGGTGGATTCTAAGGCCTTTGGCAGCTCAAGTTGGGCTTAATTCTCCCCAGATCCCAACAATCCCAGAGCTTGGTTTTTGTAGTGAAATCACTCCTCAGATGTGTGAGGAGGATGTGAAAGGATGGTGCTTAAGGATGAGGATTGGATTTGTGCCGCATCTGAGTACTGCTTTAGATTTCTTAAAAATTACAGACAGCCTCCAAAATATACCCAAGATATGAGCCATCTTCACCTGACAGCCTGTCGTCTCTGCTGATACCAGCTGGAAACCAATATGGAAAAAGGCAAGGCAACACAGTACAGGCAGCAAATGCAAATTGTATGGAACATGAAAGACCCAAAGGAAATCCTGAACAACAATTATGACTATCCCTTGTGTCTGTCTCTGATAACAAAAATGTTAATAACTACAATTATGTGACAATTATAGAAGATACATCTAAGGTGCAGAAGACATAGATGCCAAGCAATGAGCTGAAATAGGCCAAGAAAATGTGGGAAAAGAGAAAGTGAACAGAAGTCACAATAATATCAACCACAAAGAATCACCTCATAATTGCCAAAGGACACATTCACCTTCACACTCACAAATCATTTTGCACCTGTTGACATACTGCACCTGCTGACTTTATAGAGCAAAATCTGCTAAATATGCAAAGACATATTGGTATGAGAGGGTGTGATGGGAGATTTAACATAAGCATCTCAGTATCAGGCTAACCAAATAACTACAAAAACAAGATCACAGAGCAGCTGGATAATACAGTTAATAAAGAACGACTAAGATATTTGGTCCTTATAGCCAACAAACAGAATATACCTGTTTTTTAAGTATTTACTACACATTAGAAGTGATCACATCTTACTTACAAAGAATGACTAATTTATTCAAAATGCTCAAAATATAAGAACCGTTTGTTTAGGTACAATTAGGTATTAATACAATTAGCTATTAATAACAAAAGCTGAAAAAATAAGCAATTCAACTACTTAGGAATTCATGTTAACCTCCCGAATAACTCTTGGAAGAAAGAAATAAGTTCTGCAATTATAGACTTCTAAGGAAATGATAATGTGAAAGTCAGTGCATCCAACTTTATATATACAATATGATTTTCATTAAGCAAAAAAAAAGCCATAGGAATTAATGAAAATAAAACATATCAGTGTTCACAATGCTCATCTCAGAGTAAATCTGAATGCTAGTTAGAAGCTAAGGACCTTACACTTTTCTCTTTTTATATTTTCAACACCTTTAAGGTCAGAATTAATGTCCACTTATACAGATGAAAACACTGAAGCTTTGGAATGCACTGTGCATTTAATTAGCACAATGAGGTTGGGACTAGGCTTGATATTACACACTCAAGCGTTCTTTCATCTTTCTCTTTCCTGCACCGAAGCCCTAGATCCTCTCAAGAAACATTAGGATCGAGGGCACAGATGGCTCTTAAGGGCTTCTTTAAACTCAGAGATTTGGAGACTCAAGAAACAAAAGGAGATACAGTGTAGCCCTCAATTTGCCTCTTCAACCTGGGAAGCTAAATTTTGCAATCCCAGAGAGTTCAGTGATTGGTCCACAGGGAGAGAAATATGAATCATCACAAGCAAGGATATGCCAGCCTTCATCTAATCCTATCAGACCACCCCGATATGTGTCATCACTGGGCATGTGAAGGACAGGCATCAGAGATCTAGAAAGCAAAACGCTAACTTCCTTGGAGAGCTTTTAGAGCGCTTACGGCAGTGTAACCGGGCACTGTGGGTGGAGAATTCCGCAAGTTTCATGGGAGTTGAGGTCCCAGGAGATGAACTGGCCTTTGAAGGATGGATTGGCACAGAGAAAAGAAGGTGCTTTTGCTGGATGAGTGATAGGGACAAAGCCATGGGACTGAGGTGAGTGTAATGCTGATGGTGCACGTATCTGCATAGAGTTGAAGGTGGCTGTGCTTTCAAGCAGGTAGATGGCCAGATCTTCGGCTTCCACTGGTCCTTGAGAAAGGCTGTGCTCCCCAAAATGGGGTGTCCTAACACTCCCACATTCTCTTTGGCCAGCACCTTCACTGTCTTTGTACATCTACAGTATTTTAGATAGTGGGGCTGTTTGAGACACACTTTGGGAAAATGGGATTTGTGGTGACACATGATTAGGTTGAAATATTTAAAGCATCTCGTGACCATGATGTGGAGTTATGTGGGTACTTTTGGCCCAGAGCCCTGACTCTTAGGGCTTCTGCACATCCAGGACTCATACTTCAGAGGTGAGGCCACCTCCTGCCCTCCATATCATCCCAGCTGCTTTTGAGGAACCAAGATAGTCCCCTGCCTTCTCTATCAGATGGTAATGCCTCAGGGCCAGGGACTAGTCCTCCACTGTCTGGGCCCCCAAAGAAGATGTGGTCTGTATGCTCCCGCACTCTTCAGTTCACCCACAGTTCCCTGACATTTTGGAGAAATGGACTTAGCATTGTGGCTTGCAGACCAGGAAGGCTGGAACATTAGCTTCATGGAATGTTAGAGCTCCTCTAGCCCAGTATTTCCCAACCACCAGTCCACAGACAGGCAGAGGGCCAGGACACATTTTTACTGGTCTGCACAAATTTTCCTCCCCCACGTTTCTTACCTCCTACGTGTTATAAACTGAAACATGTCCCCTGGCTTTCAGCCTCTGTGGGCAGATCCAGCGAGTCTGGCTGGGACTCCTGTGGGGTCAGGCAATAACATGGGATTATTGCCTTGGTTCTGGGACCAAATCCTGTCTTCCTCTAGCATGCAAGAAGCCTGTGGAAGCTCCTCCATCCTCCTCTCCTGCCTCCAGCTTCCAGGACAGGTAAAGTTTGCCTTACCTTTAAGGTACACAGAAGCAGTATCCTCTTGTTTTCCTGGCAAACTCCAATTCACTGGACATCACCTCCACTGAGAATCTTGATCAACCTCCCTTCCCCAAGGTTCAGTTGATTACCCTGTTCTGTGGCCTACCCCTAGAAGACTATACACGCATCTCATACGTAGACACGTAGATTCAGCCTCTGTGATTGGGCAAGTCTAGTAAGCTTTGAACTCCTGGAAGGAAACAATCTGGGCTCTTCCACCACTGTTTTAACAAGGCTAGCATAGTCCTAGCTTCCAGAAGGTATCCAGTAACCATTTACTGGACAAATGCACGAGTGAAAAAATTGACCGATGGATGGATGGGTGGATAGATGGATGATTGAAAGGGGATCAGAACCTCACTATTCATGTTCCAACAGGATAAGGTAGGACCAAGTGTTTCTAAGATCCTCTCAGGATGGTGTATCCAGCCTCTTTTTTCTGTATGACAAGTTAGGTGAAATGTGTAACCTGTGATCAAAATGAAAAGATTTGAGGATCATGTACTTGTTATTTCTTTCCCCCATTCTCTCCTTCAAGGACCAAGGAGAGAATTCAAGACCCACTCCTTAGATGCCTGCAGTCCAGAAGTCATTGTGGTCTTGCAATGACTGTGGCCTCACTGCCCACTATATTGTGTGTGTGTGTGTATGTGTACGTGTATATGCATGTGTGTATTCGTGCAAAGACAAGTGCATAGAAAAGAGGCTTAGGCCATTCTTTCCCCTCATGCTGGTCTTGGACTCCTGTCCAGTCTATATGATTAGCTGCTTGATCAGATTTCCTCACAATTCCTGTTCCACCAGGGTGCCACTATTGGAGGCTGGGATAGATGACAAACATGAACACACGCTGACACATGTTCACGCATTCAGACATAGCTACCCTTGTTCATAGCATGGGCACATATACCCTCATCTCTCATGTCATAAGTATGCATGCATTCTCATAGGTGTACCTTCAGTTAGGAGTCAAACAGGGATCAAAGCACAGGGTCAGGATCCCAATAATTCCCAAGCACAGCGTTCCCTGGTATGATTGGATCAGGAACAGAGTAGGACATCCTACCTTGTGCCTGAGGTAAGGAAGAGCAAGAGCCACTAGGAAACAAAATGTTCTTGTTGTCAGTGACCTGGCCTCTGGCTACAATTACTACCAATGGTAGAAGCAATACTAAGTATTTGTGCCATAACTAAATTAATTTGTCAAAGAAATACATTAAACTAATTTATGTGAAGATGTAAATGACTAAGAATCTCTACATTCCCAAAAGAAAATGCTCCCTCTTTACAACGAAAATTCCTCAGTAAAGTAGGAAGAAAAGAGAACTTTCTCAACCCCAGAAAGTTGAAGGGTGATGGAAATGCTCTAAAACTGTGTGGCGATTGTGGTGATGATTGCACAACTCAGTGAACTTACTGAAGTCATCGGTGACATGGACATTATGAGTAAATTTTATGGCATATAAATTATGTCTCAATAAATCTATAAAAACAAGGAAGATACTTGTTAATCTAACTGTGACCTCTGTTGGAGCAATTTCTACCACTGCTGAGGAGAGTCAGAATAACTAGAAGATCTCCTGGCGAGAGATTCATGTTCCCTTAGTCTCTTAGCTGAAGGACAGGTTATTACCCCCGGAAAGGCTTTATTATTCTGCAGACTCTGTGCCAGCTCAGGCAAGAGATTGAATGTCCTCCGCCCTCCCCTGTGGAAGTTATGCCATGGAATGCCACACTTGGCAACACAGATGGGTTTTTAGGAGGCCATTCTAAAAGAGTCCAAGTTGATGAAGACAATATAGTAGTTACAGAACACTCAGAGTGCATTTAGAAAACCTAATAGTGGGTTGGTTATTAGAAGTGCACATATTCAGGGTGCTGTGAAATTCAGATGCCACTTTCAGGGCAGGCAGAGTACAGTAAAAGGCCAAAGGCCCTAGAGATGAGAGGTGGGGACCAGTTCTGGGAGTGAGGACGTGAGCAAGAAGAGTGATGGGAGATGCCAGAGGCTATCTCCAAGCTCCTCCCCAGCCCCATTCTTTGAGGCTGGCCAACCCGCACATTTTCCCAGCTTCTTCGGGGGACTGAGATGCTCTGGGTACTTTGACCAGCCCTTATGGACAGTAGAGGCAGGGGAGAGGCTGACTCAAGCCCAGGCCAAAACAAGATCACAGATGTGGTCACAGGGAGATAGGACTTGACAAGTCCCTCACCATGGATGGCCCCAGGTGCCATATGCCAGTCATGTCAGTTACTCCTCTGCTCTGTCTTCTTCCTTGCTTCTTTCTCTTTCTTCCAGGACTTGGTTCCACCTTATTTTATTTTTTCCACTATCTCTAGCCCCTACCCCTGGTCTCATTTCCTCTTTCCATGGTGCAAGGGAATTTCAGCTGGAACAACCCACGGTGTGTGGTGGGCCTGGGGGGCATCCAGAGGTCGCTGGAGCCTGGAGGGTCCCAGGTGAGGGCTGAATAATATGTCACTGCCAGGCATTGGCAGGGGTTGCAGCCCTGGGGGCTTGGGAGCAAGGGGAGGGGAGGTTCTGGAACTTAGGAGGTGGAGGAAAGCATGACTCCTGGAATTCTCCAGAGAAAAAGACCTGAGGTGGAGGTCAAGAGATATTTAAGCTTGGAAAGTAGATTCTCACTGGCCACTTCCTGTCCAGGATCTTTGGTGAGGTCTCTTGGCTCTGGGTTGGAAGGTACCAACCTTGCCAAGAATTCTTCTCTCTTTTTTCTTTTTTTTTCATTAAATCAAGTAATAAAGGAACTGTGTCTATCTCTATTTCCATGTAGCTAAGGCTGAACCTCAGCTGATCCTGGAAGCCAACCAGGTACGTGGAAAGAGGAAAAAACAGCAGCCAAAGAAAATGAAGCATTGGCTTGAAGGCCAGATGGAAGTCAAGGGCAGGGTTCTACAGGAGGCCCTGGAGTGAGGGGCTAGGGAAGGGGGGTCTGCCTGGCCTCAGAGCAGGGTGGGGTAAGCAAGTTGTAGATGGGTCTTCCACAGTGGGTGCTGGTAATGGTCAGCTGAGGTTGTTACCAGAAGAATCTGAGCATAGGTAATGAAAGAATCTTGCCCGGGGCTGAACACTGTAGCTGGGAGGAGGCTGGGAGGCAGAACCAGGGTGTTCCATCTTGAGGTCAGCTTTTTCCACCCCTAGGCAATTTACCTGTGGTGCAAAATGAATACCAATGGGCTACCTGTGCATCACTAATGCCCCTTAGGCACCATCCCAAACCTAAGCTACATGTATGGCCCCCACACCATGTTTCTGACGGAGAGAATGCCAGCCTCTGGGGACAATGCCAGACCCCAGAGGGTCAGGGGGTCTCTCCCCACATTCTTAAAATAAAAGTCATTTATATTTCATACTTCTTATCTTTTCAGCCGCACCAAAATTCTATCAGGTAATCCTTATGGATAGAATTTCTGCAAGTTTCTTGGGAGCCACAGAGAAGAGGAGGTCCCCCTGGCTTCACAGTAGAGAGCTGGAGTGGTCCTAGTGGGAGGAAGGCCTCACAGTGCTCGAACCAGCTCCCAATCAGTCCCCTGCCTCAGTGCATTCTAGCCTGGAGTTCACCCCACAGATCCTTTCTTCTGCCTCCTGACTCCCATATCCTCATGCTTGGCAGTTTTCCTCTGAGGAGCATCACACCTGAGCCCCTGGAAAGAAGATGTGGTGGTAGGGGTGAGAAGAAGCAATGTCTCCCCCTTCAAGCTTTTCCTGAAAAGAAGACAGACACCTGCAGCTTTGAGGTCTTAACTACCACTCCTGGCCATGCTCTTCTCCCCAACCCATTGCTCCTGCCTTGACTGAATCACTACAAAGGCAACACCCCCCAACCCCATCACCATTTGTTGTCTGTGCTCCAGGCTCCCTCAGATCCATATCCCACATCACTCCCTTCAAATACCAACACCTGCCACACAGCATAACTCATCAAGGTTTGTCCTTGGTTCTCAGCATGGAGTCCAGTTTCCGAAGTATACCTCCAAAGTCCTGTCTGATCTCTCACTGGGTCCTTTCTCTTGCACCATATCCAGACACCTGCATTGTTCCCATGTTCTTGTACCTACTTTTCATCACTAGCAATTTCCAGAGCGTTCTGTACCCTATTTTCCCTGGCTTCCCTGTCTGCCAGGACAGTACCCAAGAAGCACCTGCTTTCTTCCTCTGGTCCCAGCACCAAGGACAGCGCCTGGCACAGAGCAAATGCCAATAAGTAATGATGAGCTGATGGGTATCAGACCCTGTCTACCCTCCCTCCCTTCGGGCTGGGTTAGGCACCACTACTGGGCTAGTATTCCTTAGCATTACATTAAAATAGCCTGACTACTTATGTAGTTGAAAAGATTTTAGTATCTTCGTGGATGTGATTTTTCATCTCAATTTTTATTTTCAGCCCAAGCTTTCTACCATTCAGGCTAAGCTAGAATGTGAGGCATCAATGCCTCAGGGAAGGGCTATTTCAGTAGAAAAACAGAAATAGATTTTTCAGCGTTTAATCCTGAGGGGTTAGAAGTGATGAGTCTATATAAAATGCTTAAGATTAGTAGTGAAAGGGACACAGGAGGAAAGCAGTGAGACCCGGACAAGAAAATACTGCAGTGAAAATGTATTAGTTACTATTCCATCACTGGGACAAAGCACCTGACACCTGCAACTTACAGGAGGGGATTATTTTAGCTTAAATTTTTAGCCCATGGCACAAATGGCATGGCAGAAGGGCATGGCAGAAGAAAAGATGCTCAACCCACAGCAGCCAGGAAGAAGGGAGAGAGAAAGGAGGAGTTGGGGATAAGCATACATCCTCCCAGGTCACAGCCCCAGTGATCCTCCCCCTACCAGCCTCTACCCTTAACAGCACACTATTTACTGAACTCATTGTCAGTGGTTCACCCCACTGACAATTTAACCACCGGCCACCATCCAAACACATGGAAAGGGGGTGATTTTAGATCTGAATCATAATAGAGGAACCATGGGAAAGACAATGGTGGGCATCACTCATTATAACACTAAAGGGCCATGCAGTGTATTCCAAACTCCCTGACCTGCTGTGGGCTGGGCTCACAGGATGTCCTCTCTGGTATCTGCAAAGCTCCTGATACTGGCAGCATCTACAATTCTTCCATCTGGCCATGAAAAGAAAAGCCTCTCTGTGTATTCTCTGTCCACTCGATACTCATCCAATTCATTCACAGTAGGCCCCCTCCATTACCACAATATCCCAGAGATGTGGGGCTTGAAAGAGGATGGTGAGGACAGGAGGCTAAAGAAAGAAGTTTCCTATGCCTGTTTTCACATTTGACAGAACAGCTTTCCAAAACATCCCTGCATGCAGGACAGTAACAAAGAATGCACAACCTTGATTTTCTTCTCTCTGTTCAGCACAAGGCCAGGAGCACTGGGTCAGGTATATCCTTAGCAATTAGCATCCTTCCTGGCAGGTTGTAGCTTCTTGATGAATCTGAAATAGTCACTCTCCTCTCTTTCACTATCAGAACTTCAGGTCTATTCAGTGTGATCCACTGAAAATATTTAGATTTCTTGAATTTCTAGCAAGTCTGGTGGCATTAAGACAGCACCTACTTCTGGACAATAAAATATAGGTGAAACAGTAAGATGAAATATACTGCCGGAGGGGCTTCTGGGAAAACTTGTTAAAGGGATGGACTACCTGCCAGCTTATTCCCAGCTTTTGCCTTTAACTATCCATCCTTCGTCTTTCATTCATCTTCCTGCTTGGAACATGGGCATGTCTAGAGGTGTGGGAACTAGTTTGCAACGACAGAGACAAATTTCATACACAGAAGACAGCAAAACAAAATGGTAGATAAAGCTAGCCTTTGATAGCCTTTAGAAGGTCAATTTATACCATCCCTAAATTGCCTATCTTAGACTTCCTGTAGTGATTATTATCAGTTAGCAATAGTTTCAGAACTTGCCTAGCAAACCATCTCCAAAGTCAATGATTGAAATAATAATCGTTTATTCTCACCCGTACATCTGAGGATCAACTAGCTTTGGGCCAAGTTTAAGGTGGATCTGCTCCCCTGAGTCTCAGATTCCCCTAGGCCTACCACCCACCCAGAACATGTTTTTCCATAGAGATAGAACCCAAAGGGGGTAAGCTCAACTGTGCAAGTCCCTGCTTATACAGATGGAGCATCTATAACTTAAAATTCTGAAATTTGAAATGCCCTACAATCCAAAACTTTTTATTTGCTAATATGATGCCCCAGCAGCAAATTCTATGCCATGAAACTTTGCTTCATGAAAAAATTATCTAAAATATTCCATGTATTTAAAATATAGATTGGTATATATATATATATATATATATATATATATATATATATATATATTTACATACACATGACATAATTTCATGTTTAGACTTGGATTATATCCCCAAGATACACCATTCGTGTATATGCAAATATTCCAATGTTCAAAAGAAATCTCCAATCCAAAATTCTCCTGGCTCCAAGGATCTTGGGATCAGGGATACTCATCCTGTGTCCCAACCTCCAGCATCTCATCAGCCAGTGGGTTACATAGAAGAAACCCACACAGTTGAGGGTTGGCAAACTTTATCTCTGGTGAGAGGAACCAAAAATTTGGCAAAGGACATGCATAGATAGAAAAGTGAGGAACTGGAGCCAATAATTAGAAAATGCCTGCTGAGAACCACTGTATGCTAGTTGTTATTTTGGGTGCTTTTTGTTCTCAATCATCTCATTTAACTTTGTAATAACTGATATGAAGCAGGCTTTATTACATTTAACTCTGCAGATTAAAAAAAAAACTATGGCCCTGAAGAGATTAAAGAATATTCTTTTGAGAAAGGAAAGGGCTGGGACTTGATGCTGCTTTTGACCTTCAAAAGCCTGCCCTCATTCATTACACCGTGTGCCCTTACTTCTGAGAAAGAAAAAATGTCTGACTTAGAGAAACAACAGTGGCACTGGAGAGAAGGCCAGCTTGGTATCTTGTGTCTGCATACAGACTGCAGGCCAAGTAGATTCTGAGTAAGGGTAGAAGGTGGCAAAGGCTTGAAAGACGCTGAGAACTCAGATTGTGTCTGTTGTCAGGAGTAAAAAATTAGTCTGGCTAATTTAAGCAGAGGATGGGGTATTGTATGGTTTTCTCAGAACTGCACATAAGGTTGGAAAAGCTCAGAGAAGATGTGATCAGGGAAAGCTGAAAACCCAGAGCAATCTCGAAGCTGTAAAAGGGTCCTTAAAACGCGCATGCCCTAGGCACCACTGCTGGCACTGCTGATGCTGCTGTCCAAACCCAAGGCTGCTGCTGCAAGCACCTGAATTAATTCTTCCCTGCCCTGGGTTTAAAGTCCAAGCAGGGTGCCTCCAGTCCTAAGGATCAGGTAGCTGCTCATGTCTCGGTGACATGGAAAGTAAACTTCTGGCTTCAGCATCTACAGTGGGAGTGGTAGATGGAATCTGTCATGCACTGGGATTCTTTTTAGTTACAAAATTCTCCAAGCACAGGAAAGGGGCTCCAAGATTAGAAAGCAAAATAATAATAATAATGAGGAGGAGGAGGAGGAGGACAAAGAGGAAAATGAGGGACTCGAGGAAGGGGAAGGAGGAAGAGGAAGAAGAGAAGGAGGAGAAGGAGGAGGAGGAGGAGGAGAGGAAGGAGGAGAGGAGGACAAGTGTCCTTTCACAGCCTCTGTCAGTTATCAATAATTAGTGCGGCCAGTGAGCATGACCAGGAGAGGGAGGCCCCTGGATTCCCAGTCCTACTCACACAGCCCAAGGGAGTGGGTGTGGTGAGGCAGTGGAGGTACAGAGCTGGAGCCCGTGCGTCCTGCCTGGTGTCCCCACCTTGACACAGGCCTCTGTCTGATCCTCATTCTCCCCTCAACAGTTTCTAGGCAGATGAGAGGAAAGTCTTAGCCATAGGAAACTGCTGAAGAACAACACTGGGAAAGTGATGGGTCTCAGTCTCTAAGGGTTGTGTCTCCAAAACGGGACTAGACATGCCAGTGGGGGTGTGGCTAAGCCAGGCCTAAGCAGAAGGCAGACATCTCAGGATGGGGGAATGAGGAAGAGCACATTGCTGTGAGTGGAGTTGTGGACAAGAGGACTTCCCTGTCCTTTCCCCACCTCCCACTGAGATATTCCCATGATTCCCTAGGTTGGCCAGCTTTTGCTGAGGCTGAGTCATAGGGGAGAGTGGAGGAGTCCCAGCACTGCACCCAGCTCACGAAGTTTGTAGCTGGCAACCCTTCTGATGTTGGAAGAGTGTAAAAATCAGATCTTGTTTCTGCCCCTGCTGACTTGGAGCAGATTACTTCCCATCTCTGAGACTCAGTGTTCCCATTATAAAGGGAGAACGATGGTGGTGACTCCCTCATAGGTCTGCTGGAGGATTACAGTGAGCTGATTGCATAAAGTGCTCAGGGCATCACCTGACCCATAAAAGCAATTGTGCTGCTTCTGATGATGAAAACACCCTTGAGGATGAAGTGATGAAGGTAGGGTGTATAGGGGGCACATAGTAATGTTGGTTCCTTCTCCTGTCTTGGTTCTGATGGCCCCCTCTTCTACCCCGGGTGTGCAGAATCCTCAGGGTTGCCCCTAGCAGGAATGGGGCTTGCTGTGGTCACAGCCTCCACTCAGGTCTCTAAGCATGGGAAACAGAGTATGTGTCGAGGACAGAGAGGGGAGGAAGGGTGGGAGTGGCTTCACCTGCTCCTGCAACCTCCACACCTGAAAGAGGCTCCTCTTCGCTTATTCAGCCTCAGCCGACTCTGACTCCCTCTGCCCAGGCCGGTGCCCCCTAAACTGCTGAAGCTGAATCCTTTCCTGAGTGGAGGGAGAGCCATGCCTGTGATCCACCTAAGGATGGAAGGCTCTCTTTCCCGCCTCACCTCTATGAACACCCAGGGGGAAGCTCCACTGTAGCCACGAGGCTTACAGATTCTTAAGAGTTGGCTGGACTTCCCTGACCCTCTGGAAGTCCCCCTGCTCTGACACCCCCAGGCAGACACACCCCAACTTTTTGGGGTCAAAATCTGGACACTTCGACCCTCCTTCTCTGCAGACCCAGGCTTTGGCTCACCCAGCTTCTTTTCCAAGCAACCAAAGAACAGCCCAGGATAGGACCAGCCAGGCCGTCTACTCCCCCTCCCATATGGTCCCCAGCACAGAAGCCCTGTTAGGGATCACTGCAAAGCACCACATGGAGATCTAATCTGGGGTGGGGGTGCTGAGCTGAGGCAGGGTGGAAGGGGTCGACGAGAGGAGGAAATTAATGATTAAATAATGGGTTCCAAATGCAGCGGCTCCAAG